GGGCCTCGCGTGTTGGCGGCGGCAGGCCTTGAAGCGGCGGCCGGGGGTGGAAAGAAGGGGGGCGGTGGGCTCTCCGCGCCGCCCGCCCCTCCTGCCGGTGCTCCGCAGGGAGGGAGGAGGGTTTAAAAGTAGGTTGGTGCCGGCGGTGCTGGCAAAACACGGGTTAATGGGGGGGTGGGGGACGGGGGGGACGCGGCCACGGTGTCACCGTCTCCCCGGGACCGGCCTCCCCCAGCCCCGGCTCCAGGCCCGGCCGGTCACCGGGCTCCTCCTTGAGCTGCTCCACGTGTTTGCACCTTGCGAACCGCTTTCGGCAAAGGGGGCCAGAAAGGGGTGGGGGGGACGGGACACACAAGGCTCATTTCGAGTTTTCTGAATGATTTAGAAGGGGTTGGTTTGGGGTTTTCCCCCCCCCCCCAAATGCACGCTCACAGCCACTGCTGCAGCTTTTTGGTGCTGTCAGCCGGTCTCGCAAAGCAAGGCCTGTCACGTTTTGCCCGTTACCCGATGCGAACTTTCTGTACGGTCGGAAATGGCGAAAAGTTACTCTGTGAGCCCAGTTCGCCTGACTTAATAACACAGCTGGGCCTGAGTGGTAATTTTCAGTCGGAGTTTTGCTTTCCTGGTTGTATGTGACTGAAAACTTCTTTTTGGAGTGAAGTTTCTCGTGGTTGGTCTGGCGGCTTAGAAAGCCGTGTGAAGTATTTGTCGTTTCTGAGTTATCCAGATGTCAACGTAGGGCGATAGTTTTCCCTTTTAAACTATTACTGTTGATTGGTTTTGGCTTGGCAGTGAGATAACTCAAAAGTCGTTACTTTATAATGTCAGGCGTTCCTTTCAAAAAAACCACGCACTTTGCTTTTTAAAGAAATACTGGCTTCTTTTTTCTTTCAAAGCTAAATACTGAAGCTTTCAGATTGAGGTTGTACCGCTTTCCTTCCACATAGTTAACTTTTAACTGTGGCGGTACGTGAGCCAAGCCGCTCAGTCTCATGTAAGCCAGCTTAACAAGCCTTCACAAAATGTAGCATCCACTGTACGCCATTTCTGTATGAAGTTTTTGGCTAAGTAAGGTAGTAAGTTCGAATAAGCAGGGAACAGGCCTTGGTCAGGACATACTGTCATTGGCAAAAGAGGCATTACAAAATCAACAGCAGTTACAAAGCTAACTGGCTATCTTTGGTCTTAACTGCACAGTGATTTGGTGACACGGTAAAGAGTAGGGTGGTGACAGCATTTGCCTTCGAAGAAACATGAATACCACTAGTACAGCAAAAAGATGGGGTTCTTCTAGTAATCACTAACATTTTCTTGGAATCGTTAATGAGGCTGTGGGTGAAAGAGGGTGGCAATGTGTTATGCTACCCATGGTAAAGCTGCCTGATGATAGCATATGGGTTAGAGAATGCCTGCGGGATGTTAAAATTAGGTATTCAGTAATTATGTAGGGAAAGGTAAAAATGCTCTTGTGTGGGGGGATCTAAAATCTTAGCAATTGAAGACACTCAACAGCTTACAGGCTATCGCAGAGTGATAGCACTGTAAAATACAGGAAGCATGTCTTTATATGCTCCTCTGGGTTTGGAATTGAGCAGATCTGGTGTTGTAAGTGTTTCAGGTATCATTTCGCTTTCTTTCAAAAATAATAAAAAGAAATCATTCTTTGCTCACAAGAGTACTGGTCTTCACAGGGTAGCCCTAGACAGAAGCACCAGGCGATGGCTGTATCTGTTGCCGAAGTCACTGCCGTTACTTACTGCCTGTCTGCTGGAGGTCTGATGTGCCACCCTTGGTGTTAGTCTGGGCACTCCCCAGCCTGCCTCAGTCAAAACATGGTGGGTTAAGACAGAGGTAATATTTATAGTGTTTAAGCTGACCTGACTCTTTTTGTCTGAAATAGGTTAGCAGGTGCTGGTAGGCGTAGGAATGAGATGAAAACTTTCAGCAGGCCAACAGTACTGAGCAGCTGGGGGCGGACAAGGGCATCATCATTTCAGAAGCATAGTGCACACTCAGAGGGCTGTCTGCCTTACTGAAATACCTTTAATTATTGGAGTTTTCTCACCAGTGCCTGGATTTTGTCTGTTTTCTTCAGATTGCTTTTTCAGTGGTTGTAGCAAATTATGACCATATGTTAATCTGCTAGTTGACTTGACCATGGTTTTTACAGAATTGCCTTTTATGTACTAGTTAGCTAATGTTTGGGAGAGCTTCTTATAATTACTCAGTGGGGATTTATCTGTTGGTCTCTCTTCTTTTAAGTTCACAACCTTATTTTTTTTCTTTCCCCTGAAGACTCAGCGCTGACTTTGGACGTTTTGTCCATTACCGGCTCTATAGAAAAAGTTCTGAATGCGACTCTATTGCTGGTACTTTGAATTTGACCCACTGTTCCTTTGGGGAACAATGTGCTGTGGTGACTGAGGAGTTTTTTAGATTTACAATAGATTCCTGGAATTCTTTGAAGTAAAGCATACATACAAAGAATGAATGGATATCTTTTTTTATTTTTTTCCACTCGCTTACTGAAACAAATTGGTTAACAGTAGGCATGAAAACATCTGCTTATGAAATTTAATGCTGCCCTATGAATTTTTTTTTTCTGCCTTAGAAAAGACTTTTTTTTTTCTCTTTGTGAGTGTGGTCATACATATATCTACTTCGCCTCTAGATCAGTTTCACAGATCTGCACTGAGTGGAATTCCTGATGTACAATTTAATGGGCTTAAAATGTTTTTTTTTCATGGATGTTGTTCCGTGGTTTAAGTGCTGCGGTTAGAATGTGCGTTATGTATATATACACGCTTTTATTTTTGAGAGGAAGACTCTGGAGTGAGGACTCTGAGAACTTAATGTTTAACCACTCGCAGTATTCCTTACACTGTTCTTTGTAATGTGAGTCTTATTGGAAGGTGAAAAGATACAGCATTCAATTTTGTATGATCCTTGCTCAGCTCACCGTCAGATACTTAGTAGTACCAGGTTTGGTAGTGATTTTTGTTTAATGGCTGAGCACTTCTAGGAATTAGGCTGAGACCCGCAAGTTGTTTCCCTCCAGCTACAGACTCACTCTGTTAACAGAGTGCCCAGGGTGCAGTTTCACAGCCTGTTCACATTACATCCCCACTGCTGGAAGGGGCAGCACTCCTCTCCTCTTCCTGTCCCATCCCTCCTGGCCATATGAGAGATCAGCTGGCTGCATAGGGAGCCAGGTAAGGAAGCCGATCCAGCTGATACAGAGCTAGAGATATAAAACGCTCCTTTCTCATTGCATCGGCTTGCTCACTAGCACAGATGCGGGTGTGGGACGTGGGACTGTGGCTGGAACAAGGAGAAGGGCTGGAAGTGTTGTATGGGCTTCAGCAGATCATGGATCCGCAGCCTGGGTCACCCTGTACTTCAACTGACTGTGGTGAAAGCCCCTCTACCAGTTTCCTGAGCAGTCTGATCCTGTGAGTTAATTATTAGTGATACTGCTGGTGAGGATGGTGTCCCACTCTGTGGACTAGTGCAGTCCTCATGTAAGTGCTTTTTTTCCTGTTACACTCTGCTGGAGCGAATCGACTTCCAGCTTGGTGGAACCTTGCTGGTACTGCAGTTTGTATTCTGTTGAGCAGGTATCCAAAAAGGGAAGATGAACTGTGTAGAGTTTATCAGGCTAACCACGTGTTTCTGCTTTACAGTTCTGTAGTTTCTGTATTCCTCCAGCTTCCTGTTGCCCAGCAGAAATTGAAGGGGACCAGTCTGTGCTAAGCCTGCTATACAGACATTTAAGTCTAGGAAGTATTGTTTTTTAGTACTGCCCTGGTTTTGGCTGGGATAGAGTTAATTTTTTTTCTAGTAGCTGGCGTAATGGATTGGTTTGGGTTTAGGATGAGAATAATGTTGATAATACACTGACATTTTCAGTTGTTTCTAAGTAGTGTTTGGACCCAGTCAAGGCTTTTTCAGCTTCTCATGCCCAGCCAGCAGGAAGGCTGGAGGGGCACAAGAAGTTGGGAGGGGGCACAGGCAGGACAGCTGACCCAAACTGGCCAAAGGAGTATTCTATACCGTGTGATGTTGTCATGGTTTAAGCCCAGCCAGCAACAAAGCACCATGAAGCCGCTCACTCCCTCACTCCTCCCTGCCCCCAGTGGGATGAGGAGAAGAAGGTATAAAGAAAATCTCATGGGTCGAGACAAGGACAGAGAAGGATCACTCGCCAATTATGGTCATGGGCAAAAAATAGACTCGGGGGGGAAAAAAAAAAATCAATGTAATTTACTACCAGTCCAATCAAAACAAGGATAATGGGAAATAAAACCAAATCTTAAAGCCCCTTCCCCCCACCCCTCCCTCCTTCCTGGCTCGACCCCACTCCAGATTTTCTCCACCTCCTCCACCCCAGCAGTGCAGGGGGACGGGGAATGTGGATTGTGCTCAGATCATCACACGTTGTCTCTGCCGCTCCTTCTTCCTCAGGGGGAGGACTCCTGACTCGTCCCCTGCTCCAGTGTGGGGTCCCTCCCATGGGAGACAGTCGTCCATGAACTTCTCCGTCGTGGGTCCTTCCCACAGGCTGCAGTCCTTCATTCATGACCTGCTCCAGCGTGGGTCCTTTCCACGGGCTGCAGTCCTTCAGGCACAGCCTGCTCCAGCACGGGCTTTCCCCTGGAGTCCTGGCCATCTTGGGGGGCATCCCCCTGCTCAGGTGTGGGCTCCTCTCTCCCTGGGCTGCAGGTGGGCATCTGCTCCCCCACTCCCCTCCATGGGCTGGGGGGGGGACAGCCTGCCGCCTCACTGCGGGCTGCGGGGGCATCCCCTCCTCCAGCGCTTTTCCTCCCCTTCCTCCTTCACTGACCTCAGTATCCGTAGAGGGGTTCCTCTCACATTCCAGTCTCCTCCCCCACTGCACGTTTTCCCTTCTTGAATACCTTCTCCCAGAGGTGCTACCACTGTTGCTGATGGGCTCAGCCTTGCCCAGAGGCAGGTCCAACTTGGAGCTGGGGAAGCTTCTAGCAGCTTCTCACAGGAGCCGGCCCTGTAGTCCCCTCCCCTGCTACCAAAACTCCGCCACACAAACCCAAAACGTACGTCATGCCCAGTATATAAATCAGGGGAAGTTGGCCGGGGGTGTGGATCGCTGCTCAGGAACTGACTGGGCATTGGTCAGCAAGTGGTGAGCAATTGCACTGTGCATCACTTGTTTTCTATATTCTAATTTGTTTATTATTATTATTGTAATTTTATTATTGTTATTTTTATCATTATTATTTTCCTCCTTTCTGCTCTGTTAAACTGTTCTTATCTCAACCCATGAGTTTTACCTTTTTTTTTTTCCCCTCGATTCTTTCCCCCCATCCCAGTGGGTAGGGGGGAAGTGAGTGAGCAGATGCGTAGTGTTTAGTTGCTGGCTGGGGTTAAACCACAACAAGTACTTACCTGAAATAAGTATTGTCTTAGCAACTGTAGTATTAGCCGAATCAATATATTTAGTATGGTGGTAAATTTAGGAAACTCTTCTGTCAGCAAATAGGGTTTTTCCTCAGGCAGGCAAATGAAATAAAATATTCTTTATCATATATGTAGAAAGAGAGAGGATGTTTAAAATAAGAATTAGCTGTACACGTTGTCAATTGGACTGCAGATTAGCCAGTTCCAGTGTTAACTGGAAGTAGGTCCATACCTGAAGCACCAGTGATACTAAATGTGTTTATGTTTCTTGATGCTTGTGCTTTTAAAGTCAGGCCCATCATATTAAGTTGTTCAAGTTTCTGCTTTTTTGTTTTTGTAATTTATTATCAGTTGTCAGTAAGGAAGTTTTCCTGTTCACTGCCAATTTGAAGCCAAAGTTTAAGCTAAGTAGGTTTTTTTTTTTGAGAGGGACATACTGAAAAATGTTTTTGACTGTATTGAAAATATTCTTGATTACTCTTAAGTACCCCTAGGCATCTCCAAGATGTAGATAAGACATATGAAATTTAATAGGAAGATAGCTTTAGAAATTGTGAAGTATTTCCCAAGACAGCTAGTCTGGATTTGTCTGAATTATAAGCTTCATAAAGTTGCCATTTTCCATTTGCAATTAAATCCTTTAAGATATTTGTTTTGAATTCTCTGGATATTTCAGCTGCAGTGTACATACTCTGCTGGCCTACTGAGCTTTCTTCACCGTGTCAGCTTTATGCAGTGTGTGTGACGAAAGCTCCTGGTGGGATGCAGGAAAAATGGGTTCTCCTGTTTCTCGTCATCCCTTAACTGAAGTATATTTTGGCTTAGGAGCAGGCATAGTGGACCTCATTCTTGTTTTATTTCTGCTACATGCTGAGAGTTAGTAGCTCAGTTGTACTTTGCAGCCATTGTAAACCTCTGTGCTTGAAGGAAAACTGTCTTGGTTTTTAGAGTAATAACTGCTTGTCTGAAAAGATGGACAAGGCGATTCTGATTGATCGTGTTGTCAGTGTGCCAGGTGCACTGCAGGTTGTCCTGAATGTTGGGTCAAAGACCAAGCCCAACATATAACATTGTGGTGATAGTTTCTTTTACAGTTCTGCAAGCGGGGCTTCACAAAGCCTCAGAGTGCAAGTTTGAGTGAATGTCATATTTATGCATAGCACCATTAGTGTATAATACATGCAAATCTTGGTCTCCTTGTTTACCTGAAGAAGATGCTAAACCATATTCTTTCTTTGCTTTCTTCCTTCTTGTCGTAAGTACTAGAGTATACCTTGAAAACATCCAGCTTATTTTCTAACATATGATCCTGTAATTCCTCTAGCAGAACCTGTGTGTTATAAACCCATCCCAAGAAACAAGATGTTGAGTAAGTGGACTAGATTTAAATAAAAACAGG